CACAGATTCTCCTGTCTATTATGGGAGCGTCACCTGCTGGAAACTGGGTCCAGCGTCCCATGAACATCGTGAATAAAGCACCAACCGGGACCCCACACACACTCTCTACCTTACCCTTCCCGAACCACATAAACAAACGAACTACGGGCTGCGCACCCGTGCCCTCACGGTAAGTCAATACCTAGTGCCCGAAGTACCTGTATGACAGGGCTTGTTCGGGCAATGCTTCAACCAGCTTTGGGCGGTGTTAATGCTCAACCCTGGTGCCTGCAACCGCGTCTGGTCATATCACCCTGGCAAGATGGTAGAGGGGTGATGATCTCGAGTGGTAGACACTGCAGTAGGACTGGGGGAAGTGGATTGGGGGGGTAAGGAGGGGGCGGTCTCATAAGGGGTAGGACCCTAAACAACAACGAAAGAAAACAAAAGGGGGGAGGAGCCACAGATGGCATTTGAAAAGAAGAAAAGAGGGCCAGCAATAAAGGGAAACATTGGAAGGATACACAGAAGATTAGCATGACCCCTGCGAATGGATGACACACATACATTGAGAAATGGTCCAAGGCTTTTTTTGTTTTTCTTGAAAAGGGAAAATGAAGTACCGTAGTGTGATCCTAACATATACATATTACCGGGCAGCTCTGTTTGACGATACATATATCTTCTCTTCTTCGCCGCTTTGCCCTTTGGCTGTGGGCAAGTGGGTCGATATGACACACGGGGGTGGGGGCAGCCGCTAGCCGCCGCTCAACCTACATCCATGTGGGCACCCTTGTACGCAAGAGGTTCTGAACAGGGGGAGTTGTGAGGAAGAAGATTAATAAACGAATTCATTTTTTCTTTGTTTTTTTCGCTTTTGCGCTCTGATATTCATGTGACAATATATATCTTAAATTGGCCTGACTCGGTAAATCTGATCCTCTTATGATGGTTGAATTTTCAACAGCTGAAACAGCTGCTCAACTTACTGCACTACTGTCAGGCTACAGGGGGGCATGCAAACTGGCAGCGCTGAGGCCTCTACCTCAGCTGGTGAAGAACATAGGAGAATCCATAGAGAAGTTCAAGACTATTGATAAGGTGAGGCTGATGATCACTGCTAAATTGATAATAGAAATAAAGGACTATTAAAGGTAATTAAACTAATGTGGGCATCCCTTGCTCACCTAGATTTTGGAGTTTTTGTCCGTGTTTATGTGAAGGTTGCTTTTCTCTGAAAAGTTGGGACTAAAACAAGAGCTATATTCATTGAATACATTGACTCAATAGTCAATGAAAAATATATCTATAATTATGAAATTCAAATTCAAGAAATTGTGCTTTTCAACTTTTTCTCCAAAAAAACGTACTTTTTTTTTTTTTGTTAAGTATTTCATTTCTAAATTTTAATTCTTTTTTTATTTTATATACTAACTCTTTGATTTCTATTATTCAATATCTTGATTGAGAGAGCTTAGTTCCTATCAAACCTTTTTTTTTTTTTTTCTATTTTAATATTTATATTTATTCATTGGATAACAGAGTAGTCATGCCGACCATCGGCGCCCCTGGATTGATCAGGGGCCGACCCGCCGACCGTTGGACTGATTGGCACCTACCGGTCGGAGGTCGGTCGGCACCCTGCCAAAAAAAAAAAAAAAAACTTCTTTTTTTTCTCTTCTTTTTTGTGGGTCCAGTACCCCGAATAACCCCATCAACACCCCCATAGCCCCCCCCAACACCCCCATACCGCCCCGCAACACCCCCATACGCACCCCTTAACCCCCTACCACCCGCTATAACCCCCCTATGCCCCCCCTACACCTCCCCGGTAACCCCCCGTACCCCCCTCCCATCCCCAAAAATTTCTCAGCGGATTTGGGCTGTACTCAGCAAGCGCAGTACAGCCCTGAACTCAGATTTGAAAAAAAAAAAAACAGTGGATGGCCCTCTGCAGACTGCCGACCAGTCTGCCTACGGGTCGGCCCGACTGGTAGGCGAGCCGATGGCCTTCGGTCGGCGTTGGCCGTAAGCAGTCTGACAACCCTGTTGATTCAGATGTTATGACCCTGGCCAATTTCAAAGTGCGAAATTCACAAGAAAGCACAATGCAATCCAATTGCAAAAAGAACGAATGAACTTGAGAGAAGGGAGAGAGAAAGAAGAAGAAGAAAGAAAGAAGAAGAAGAAAGAAAGAAGAAGAAGAAGAAGAAGAAGAAGAAGAAGAAGAAGAAGAAGAAGAAAGAAAAAAGGAGAAGAAGAAGAAAGAAGGAAGAAGAAGAAGATGTACACCAGCAAAAGACCAATGACAATCCCTCCTTCTCTCACCAACCAACTCCACCTCCTTATCGCCTCTTCTCTTATTCAACCAATAAATAATGATAATACTGATGAATGGCTGAACCAGAATCAAAGTCCGAATCCCTCTCCTACTGCTTGCATCAACAGAGGCCCACCATAGCCATGGCCTCCTCCTTCCTCCTCTTCAACCAGGCCGAGGCTACGGTGGACAACGAAGGGCCTAGCCCTGCTGCGCAAAAGACAACGCAAAGCAGTTATATCCGCTGCTATTCAGGCCACCATGCCTGACTCTGCCTTGAACCCTCGTGGTCGGGGGCAACCCCAACTGGGGCCTTCCACATGCAGTGCCTAGCAAGGTGATGAAGATGGCTTTCACCATAGCCAGGTAAGTACCTCGCCAGTCTCCTCCCTAGTCCCCTTCTTCCTCCTCCTCCTACCTGGGGTCTTCCTCCATAGCCAGGGAGGTCACCCAGGCGCTCCTCCTCCCAGGCAGTGCTAGTAGACCTGCGCTCCTTCTTCCGGAAGCACTCTGAAGTCCAGCGCCCGCTCAAGCAGCATGACGCCCAAAGTTGCATACCTCAACTGAGGAGGAGCACTTCGCTCCTCTGGAGATATAGCGGCCTACCTGCCTCTTGGGCGGTCACTTCCAGGCCGTGTGGCCTCCAAGCAACCGGTACGTCCTCCCTTTCGGAGGGAAACGTCATTGCAGGCTCTGATATCGTCTGCACAGGCCCTAGACTCAGGCTACTTGGTACCCGCCTAGACCTAGCCTACCAGCTACTGGGCCTCTAAAGATACTAACTTTTTATCTTCTTCTGCTCGGCCTCTGGTTCCCGACACATCTGCCGCTACTTGAGTGGTACCGGCCTACATCCTACTTGAGTGTTTTTCCCCGCTGCCCTAAGTGTCGCGGGCCTACTTCCCGCGACTTGAGTGGTACCGGCCTACCTGCTACTTGAGTGTTTTTCCCCGCTGCCCTAACTGTCACGGGCCTACTCCCCGCTACTTGAGTGTTTTCCCCGATGCAACCCTCTGAAGTCACAGCCACAGGTAAGTACCGGCCCCTGTGGGCCTTTCAAACAGACAAGTGCCCTGGCAGGCCACACACACACTCAGACCGACAAGCACGCAGACAGGCACACGAACCAGCAAGCACACACACGCACACAGACTTAGAAAACTTAGCAGAACGCGGGAATCTCAGCAAGGCATTCACTCCAGCTGCAAAAACTCAGAAATCATCACTGTTCTCAGTCTGTGTTTTGGCGGGTCATTACAAAGATATTAATCTCCCTATGAGAAGCCGTACGAAATACAAGTTTCATGTACGGTTTTGTAAAGTGGTAGGTTAGACTACTAATTTATCAACGTTAACACTACTACACCTAAAAAGCCAAACTCACCGTTAAGAAAAGTAGCTAGTTTACATCTTACCTCAAGTTTTGTATTCACTGTATATATTCCAGGAATTGGACATGAAGAACACTCAGTAGTTGTAGTACGTGGTGGTAGAGTCAAAGATTTACCAGGTGAGGGAGAGAGGGAAGGACGGAGGGAGTGGGGGAGGGGAAGTGGGAAGGAGCGAGGGAGGGAGGGAGGGAGGGGAGGGGGGTGGGGGAGGACTTGTAACAGTGAATTGGAAGTGATTACTGGACAGCTTTATTGAAGTCTGTTCAGTAATTATTAAATTATTATTATCAGAAATAATTAGATCATATTCCGCTTTTTCTTTTTTTTCGAAAACTGAGAATAATTATCAATAACTAGGGTACCTGTTGCGGCTACGCCCGCAATAAAATGAAAAGTTTGCCAAGAAGTTTATGGACTCTCTCTCTCTCTCTCTCTCTCTCTCTCTCTCTCTCTCTCTCTCTCTCTCTCTCTCTCT